GGTGGAGAGCGATCAAGGAAGTCATCATCATCAACCTCTGGCCGTGCCCAGACACACACACACACACACACACACATACACACACACACACACACACAAGCTGCTGAGCCTCTGGTCAGTCCTGCAGTGTTTCCTAGTAACCGGGAGGATGCAGGAGGCTGAAACCAGGCACTGGTCCACAGCGGAGTTGGTGGCCTGCTGGTGGTGAGAGGCTCAAGATGGGAAATACTGCCAAGGAGAGAATGGAGGGCACTGCAGAGTCTGGCTGTGTGGTGACTGGCGGGGACTCTCTTCTAGGGCAAAAAGCTCCCTGTTTCTCCTGGGACCACTGGGAGGTCAGATTTGGTCCGGAGAGGACACAAGAAGACCTGATAGGAGAGCATGATTCTCCACTTGGTGCCAGCCCCTCTTCACTCCAAGCATGACAACCCCAGAAAGGTTTGGGTGGATATGGTGATGCTCTCATGCTGGAAGCTCCCTGCCCTGACTCAGCAGACACTGAGGACAGTCTCCAGAGCTGATTGACAGGAGCTCTTTCTACAGTTTCAACCTTCTAGTTGGAATTAGCTCACTGAGTAATGGGAGAGCCCCGAAGAAGGGAAGGGAGGACTAGGCTGCTGGCAAGAATGTATCCATGAATATTCATGGCCACCAGCAGTGAGGCTAAACAGAAAAGCAACACACATGTGAAGTCTGACCTACAGGCACCTTGGGATGGGGTGGAGGCAAGAGGGCCAAGGGAGGCTACTGCCCTTACAACAACTGGACTTTTGAGATTAAGACAATGGCAAAATCTAGATGGGAGGATAGCTGGGTATCACATGCTCAGGCGTGGGCTCCGTTCCCCAGCACTGCCAAAAAACAAAAGGGTGGAGTGCCCTCTGGTGGACTGGCTGGGCTGGTGACTGGTATGTGGCAGAGAGAAGGGGTCACAGGGCGAGGACAGGGACACCACTGGTCTGGTTAGACCATGCACAGTCGGGAGACCTGGGACTCCCCAAGGAGGTGTCTGTAGACTGGGGCCCTGAAGGAAGGTCAGAGCCACCGGTGGTAGAGTACCTAGTCACTGACCATGAATGGGACAATCAGGCCTGCTTCCCAAGAGAGGACACAACAAGCCACGTGAGCCAGGGAGCGTGCCCAAAATGAGCAGTCTTACAAGTGTGAGGAATGGCAGCCCTATAAACCCGCTGACACGCACCTCCCAGTGCCTCCAGGCCTTCTGCGTGGTGACAGGACATTGCAACCGCTCACTGCCCTTCAGTGCGCAGGAGAGGCCCCAGGCAAGTTGCTCCAGCTGAGCGAGTCCTCCCTCTTCAGGATGGACAGTCAAGCCAGAAGCCTGTAGCTGAAAAAGTCCATCTGTTTCTGGAATGCCTTGCCTGCCCCCTAGTGGATGTCTTAAGACCACCCAGCTGAGACTGGAACCTTCAAGAGGACGCATGTGAGGGCCTGGGAGCAGGGACTTGCAGACAGATCTTAGACCCTTCAGAAGGAAGCTAGGATTGGCTTGGGGACCTCGGCTTCTTCTCCCCAGGACCTCAAGCCTTGCCAGAGACTATGTATGCCCCACACCTGTGTCCTCTGCTGCCGCATTTAGCAGCCTCCCCCAGAATGTAGCCTCTCCCTTTTGAGTAATGCTCCACACACATTAGTAATCCTGATACTGATGCTCACCTGACCACTGCAACTGCCTGTACCGCTGCTGCCTCCCTAAGCTCCTTCTCTATTGACCACACACCAGAGTCACAAAAGCAAAGTGTAGACCCGGCACTGCTCAGGAAGCCTGGACTCCGCAGCAGAGGCTTACACAGAGAGAACTGTGTAGCCAGAATGACCGGGAATGAGTAACCAGGAGAGGGAGGGAGGAAAGTCTTCAGGGAAGGCTTCCTGAAGGAAGTATCAGTGAGCAAAGACCTGGGAGAAGAGGAGGGATCTGTCAGGAGGGGTGGAAGCCAGGGTCTGGGAAGAAACACCCAGGCTGGTGCAGGGCTGGTGGCCCTGAGGGATTGAGCAGAGGCTGGGCAAGAGATATTGAGACCTGCAGACACGCTGCAGAGCCGAAACCACTGGATCCTGAGTGAGCGTTAGTCCAAGCATCCCAGGGAAGGGTTGTCATAAGAAGCCAAGGAAACTCTTAGCCTGGCCCCTTGTCCACTCAGTAGCTCCGTCCCTTCTTCAATAGGCATTGAGCTAAAGGAATGAGCTGAATACGACTGCTGCCCCAGTGATGGCGGTCATACCATTGGTTAATTCATTCAGAGAAGGGGTGGGAGGGGGCTGTAGCAAGAGGAGGAGAAAGAGGCTTTTCAGGAGGGTTTTGACAGGTGTGTAGGGGTTTCCTGGGTGTTGGAAAGGGCCAAGGTAATTTTGGTAGGCAGCAGCAAGAGCAAAGATGTGGTATCTTGAGGGGTCAGGGGAAGGGTGGAGAGTGTACCAAGCAAACGAACTGGGGGTTCCGGGAGCCTGTGGTGGAGCAGGTGGGTGCAGAGTCTGGGGTTCTGGGAGCCTGTGGTGAGTCAGGTGGGTACTGAGTCTGGGGGTTCCAGGAGCCTGTAGTGGGGGCAGGTATAGAGTCTGGGGGTTCCGGGAGCCTGTGACAGAGCAGGTAGATACAGAGTCTGGGGGTTCCAGGAGCCTGTGGTGGAGCAGGCGGGTACTGAGTCTGGGGGTTCCAGGAGCCTGTAGTGGGAGCAGGCAGGTGCAGAATCTAGGGGTTCTGGGAGTCTGTGGTGGGGGCAGTCGGGTACCGAGTCTAGGGGTTCCGGGAGCCTGTAGTGGGGGCAGGTACAGAGTCTACCAAGCTAAAGCCTTTGCAGTTTTCCTAATCTTCCACCCAAAACTGTACTCAGCTGCAGGCTAAGGGACCCAGTGATTCCAATCACCTGGCACTAGCAGGCCCCCTCTGCCAAAGTGTGGCCCCATCTCCTAGTGAGGCCAGGATGGCCCTTCACTGGGAACCCACTTCAAAGGATAGGAGGATAGCCCAGGCTGGTGGGACAGAGGGCCTCTCCGTCACCAACCGAATGCCCACATAGGGCCTAGGCTCAGGCTCCACCTGAGTATGTGTGCACTCACGCAGATACTGGGCCGCTCCTCTCCAGAACCTCTGTGCCCAGTTCTGAAGGCCTTGCTCTGTAGAGCAGAGCCGTAGTCCTTGAGGCAGCTCCTTGGGAGAATATTGGGGACCATGGCTGTTTTTTATGGGCTCCTCTAGCAGTCTTACCGTCTCAGGAGACAGAGGTTAGGGAAGGGAGAGGGCATGCTACCCACCCCCAAACTCTTTTTCCATCTTCTGGGTACAGGCAGTTTGCAGGGCATGGGGAAGGGGTACAGACCCCTGCCTAATTCTGAATGACAGGGAAAGGCAAAGGACCTCAGAAAGGCAACTCACGTGCCCACTTGTGTTTAGTGGGCCAGTTTGCAGTCAGAGTTACCCCACCCCCACCCTAAGCCCCCAGGTTCTCCCAGAGGGATCTGTGCAGGAACCTGAGAGTCACTGCCTGAGCCAGCAGTGGGGACATCTCAGACATGTGACATGGACATGGACATGGACATGGACATGCACAGACATGTTATAGGACATGCGAACATGAGCTGCACAGTGCTCTCAGAAGGACCTACACGGACACTCAGATACAACATACATGCTGCAGTCATGTCCACAGGTCACCAGGCCCACATACACAGTAACACATGTACACAGAAACACAGAACACATGTGCTTAGACGCAGAGATTCACGGACGCTGCGTGTGTGACACACTGTGACACAGGCTCACTCTAACCCTCCTGCTAGGGGCCCTTTGAGCTCTGACGTCTACATAAACCTCCACAGAGACACATGGGTCAGGTCACATACACGTACACCCTGAGTCACATCTGACCCACACTCCCAGTCTGTGTGGCCCATACCACCCCGATCTCACAAGAGCCCCCAAGGCAGTAAAGGCATGTGGTCCTTGTAGTACATTGGGTACCAAAGCTCAGAGACCCGAGTGATGGCCGAGGCCACACAGCTCACGGAGGGGATGCTGAAACTTAGGTAAAGGCTGGCTTCTTTGTGTTCACCTCATCATGTGTGTCTCTGTGTCCCTGTGTGCCAAGGGCACTCACAGTGTACACACGTGTGTATGAGGGCCATGCGTGTTCCACATGAAGACTTCGGATAACAGTCACAGGCCTGAGGAAGCCATGCAGACCCACGGAGAAAACAGGTTCCCCCATGGTTATACCACACAAGTCATAATAGCCATGTGCCACCAACACATGGGAGAACTTTCCCACTCAGCATCTGCAGGATGGCTGGGCGGTACAGGATGTCTTCATGGTCCTTGCTTAACAAGACTAGACCCAAAGCTGTGCAGATAGGGAAGGCCTGGTAGAGAGAATCTGGACACAGTCCCCCTTCCAAGGGATCTTTGGAAGGAGAGTTTGTTCAGTGGTTTAACCTGCCTCCCGCATCCTAGGGCTCTCCCCTCTGTGGGGAAATGAGTTACACGTGTGTGCCCGATTTTGCTGGCTCTGAAATCACCCGCAGGGATTCAGGGAGCGTTCTTTGATGTGTCACAGTTTAATGAGTCAGGCTTTCTTTCTTCTTCTGAAAGATAGAACTCTCCTCTTCCTGACAGCCGAGGAATTCACAGTCCCTGCTGGAGTTGTGGGCTGGTTCTGATGAGTAGGCGGGGCTGGGCCCTTCCCGTGGCACCAAGGATATAATCTAAGCACTCTGAGAGTCCTCCGGATGCTCTTAGAGAAGATGAGACACAGGTTCTGTGTGTTGGGGTTCTGCAAGCTGTGACAGAGGTGGGGGCGCTGTCCCAGCCTGGGGAGCCCTCTCCTGCCTGCCCCTTACTTTCCCAGAAGAGCTGTGCCTTTCTCTGGCCTTGGCTGCTTAGCCACAGGTGGGGACAGGGTCCTCCATAGGCACCAGGGACTTGGAAACAATGACTTCTCTGCATCAGAATGGCTTGTCCGACAGAGTGAATAACTGCAGGGCCAAAGGGAGTATTGCTCTTTTACTGTGTCCCCTGCAGGAGTAAGGCCACCCGGGAGTCACTAGGGAAGACACCAGCTCCTATCACTGTGGGTGGAAGATCTCCAAGGAGTCGATGAGGCATTCCTTGCAGGGGGTGGTGGTGGACATCATGGCTGCCGTGGGTCTGCTCACTGACTTTCTATCAGAGACCTGGCCTAGCCTCCCCTGGCCTCCTGGGCTCAGGCAGACCCTGGCGCGCTTTGGCAAAGCCGGTCCGGATTTCTTGGTTTATGCGGTCATGCCATGGGTCTCTGAGGAGGACGGAAAGAGGAGGCTCATAAATGACTGGGGACAATGATGAGAGGCGACTGAGGCTTTTAGAGGTGGCAGGCACGCCTTCCACTCTGTGTCCTGGGCACTCTGGGCACACTGGGCACACTGGCTTGATCATCCCCACCTTTGCGATGTGGGAGCAGTGCTCAAAGATGTCATGTCTCCATGGCCACCAGTGGCTCTTCAGCTGCCCATGTGGCCGCCTCTCTGTGCCCTACTTGGGATACAGCTCTGGGAGACCCTGGGGCTGCAGGGTTCCCTGGACACCCCGCATCTAGCTCACTTTCTCACGCTCTGCCCATAGTGCCTGGAATTGGCCAACCCAGGCACTGCTTTGGTCAAGAGAAGGAAGCGGACATCTGAGGGGCAGCCCAGACTTCACATCAATCCACAGGGGACATTTGTTGGCACTGGGGGTAAAACCCAAAGCTTTAGATATGTTAGGTAAGCCCCTAACATATCTAAACCATACTCCCAGCCCATAGGGACACTCTTGATGGTATTTAGCAAGGGCAGAAGGAAGAGAAAGGGAGCTTTGTGGGGTGTCTCCCTGAGGTGTGATGGGAGGGGACTCCCTAAATCCTGCTACCTTGGTCAATGACTATGCCATTGCATGGTCAGGGCAGGGCTTCTATTCCTGATTTCTGCCTGACTTTTAATGGAAGTAGTGTGTGTAAGCAGATGCTTGTGAGTGCATTTGCGTGCATGCATGCTTGTGTGTATGTGTGTGAGTGTGTGTGCATACACAAGTGCAGAGCCTTGCCAGCTCACTTGCAGGCTCTGAGCACAGACCCCTCCCAAGACCCCCAACTCCCCACCCTTGCCTGCCTGAGGCTCTGGGCCAGGCCATGCTCCTCACAGCTAATCTCGGGTTTCCTCCCTCCCCGAGCCAGGAGATGAAAACATTTCTGGCACTTTCTAAAGTTTCTGTCTAGGAATGGAAAAGCCATCAGCCACGGGAGCCCTGGCTGATGAATGGCAGCCAGGCCTACAGGTCCCCAGTCCTGGGACAGGGTAGCGGGGGGGGGGGGCAGACAGAGCTTCCCTGAAGTGTGGACATGGACAGAGCCTGGTGGGGGACCCGGCAGGAGGCGACTGGGGTGTCATCAGGGTATGACCAGGTCGGGTGTATAGAGGGACTTGTGAGCAGAGGCCTGAGTGCAGAAAGGGGCTTTTGGTGTGGCTCAGTGGAGTCCCAGTCAGTGCTAAAAAAACGATGAAACACTTAATGACCAAAACAAACCAACAAATAAAGGGCATCTTAAGCCATAGCAAGAGCAAGAGCCAAGGCCCTGGGGAGGGGAGACGAGGTGCCCTTTAGGAGGCAGCCCAAGAGCCCGTGAGCAGAGCAAGTGCTGGGTAGGGCAGACCCAGAAATGGCTAAGCCAACCAGAGCAGTGGTTCCCAACCTTCCCACACAGTTCCTCATGCTGTGGTGACCTCTCCTAATCATAAAATTATTCCATTGCTACTTCACAGCTGAGATTTTGCTACTGCCATGAATCTTAACGCAAATACCTCACGTGCAAGCCCCAAACAGGTTGCAACCCACAGGTTGAGAACCACTAGGTTAAAGGTTCTGGTGGAGGGAGAATTTTAACCCAATGCTGGGTCACCCGGGAGGGGCCCGGTGCATTCCTGACCCAACCTCCCCTGGTGGATTGAGTCCCTTGGTCATCATGGGCCCAGGACTGTCTGTTCTTTGATAATACCTGTGCCTGCTCTTTTGCCTGTGGAGGTTCTTATGTGGGCAGGGGAACGAGGGACAGCCTGTTGGAGGAACCTGATCCTCTTTCACACGGCCCTCAGTGAGGGCCACGGTGCCCCCAAGGATGCAGGGCAGAGAGCATGCTCTCAGAGGCCCGAGCTCTGAGGTCTCTCCCTCATGCAGCCTTTTGGTGTCCTTTTAATATGAGTCTCATGACTGCGGAAGAATGCACCCAGGACACAGCTGGTCAGCTCAGAATAGAAAGACCCTTCGGGCTGGGAGTGCAAGGCATGCCCCTGTGTGCTATCCCCACGGATGGCCTGTTGATGTAGATTTTGTGGGGATACAGGATGCTCTCATGGAGGCCAACTGGGCGTCCCCAAATAGACTGGCTGTGCCAGGCTGTGGAGCAGAGATAGCTACCACCCAGCAATGCAGATAGCACTTAGCACCGGGCAAATTATGTATTTTTCCAGTCTCATTAGGTCTTTGATAATCTAAAATAATGGGTCATCCCTAATAGAGACATGTTCTGGCTTTGGGGACTCACCCAGGTCTAATAGGCAGAGGTGTAGGGAGGGGTCTGCAGAATCCCACCTTCCCTGTCAGCCAGTAGGTCTCCTCTGAGCCCTTCCCCTAGAACAGAGAAGAGGTGAGAGGTAAAGGCCCAGAGGAAGCTCTCCAGGTGAGGCAAAGCCTGCCTCTGCCTCTTGACAGCTGTGTGACTTTGCTCAACTTACTTCACCTCTCTGTGCTTCCTCTGCTCTCCCCTAAAGCCGCTGTGAGGATTTAATGATACACTTACCAGTCAGAGAGATGGGGGCAGACCTGGAATCAGGGCCTTTAAACTAGGCAGTCTGGTCTCCTAGTCAGGCCCTACCCCTAGCAGAGGGACTGGGGGAGGGGACAGGACGGGGTGATAGAGGTAGAAGGCTCTGCCTTTGTCAAGCATTGCATAAAAGAAAACACTGAGGGGGAAAGGAAGGGAGGCAGGGAGGGAGGGATGTTGTCGGATGCTGTTTGCTCCCAGCCGCCTAGACTCCTGAAATAATCACACAGAAACTATATTATTTAAATCACTGTTTGGCCAATCGCTTAAGCGTATTGTTAGCTAACTCTTATGTTTTTGGCTAACCCATTTTTATTATTCCATATTTTACCACGAGGTTCGTGCTCACCTGACAGCTTGTACCTTTCCCCTTTGGCACTACGTGGCTTCTCCCTGACTTGGCCTACTCTCTCTCTATATATATCTCTTTCAGCCTGGCTTTATTCTGTTAAACCATTGGCTGAAAACAGCCTTCTTTATTAACCAATGGCAATAAAACATATTCACAGCAAACATCACCTACCACATCAGAGGAAGGGAGGGAGGGAGGGAGGGAGGGAGGAAAGAAGGGAGGAAAGAAGGAAGGAAGGAAGGAAGGAAGGAAAGAAGGAAGGAAGGAAGGAAGGAAGGAAGGAAGGAAGGAAGGAAGGAAGGTAGAAGGAAACCCAGGGTTCAAAGCTTTTCTCTGCCTTGAAGGAGGGCGCTGGCAAGCTCAGCCCAGGGTCACACTGTGGAAAGCCATTTATGGGTGCACAGGGAAGTTAAGACAGCCACGGGAGAAAGTGGGGATGTTCTTGGACCGGGGTAGGTTTTAGTGAAAAGTGCAGTCTGAACTGGGTTCTGAGGGTGCACAGAAGCCTAAGAGTATTGTAGAGAAGGCACAAACTGGGGACCTTCGCCAGATCGGGCCTTTGCTTTGCTAATTGTGTTTCCTCAACTGTGTAACAGGAGGCTCATTTGTTCTTTGCACAATTGCTCTGAGGGCCTCGTGTGCTGGTGTTGGGCACCAGGACGCTGCACAGGGGGTTCACTAGAGCCTCAATTTCTCTGTCGTGCCCCTGACTCTAGCAAAGAACCAAATGGCTCCCAAGAAGAAGTTTTTCTTGATTCAAAATTTGGGGAGCAGAGAGAATCACCTCCTATGCCCAGCTTGCAAAAACGGGCCAGCTGAAACCGGTCCCCAGGGCAGTCCCTCACCTTCAGCTCAGTCTGTCCTCTGACATCGACTGTGTAACCTTCACCCAGGCTGAGCAGGGTCTGGACGGTACTTCTGCTCACATGGATTCTGTACGCTGAGAAGAAAGGCAGGAGTGAAGCCACAGCTCCCTGGTAGTAGCATCTACTTCTCTAAGAGCCTGTGACTCTGGCCCTAGTCAGCCTCACAAGGCCCAAACCTCTCGTTCTGGAGACAGGTGGTCACTGAAGGAGCCCCCGAGAATAAACAAGCCACATAAATGAAGTGTTAGGCGGGGAGATCCCTGGAACATGATGCTTACCTGTGGGGCTACCACACCCAGTTACACAGTGTGTGCACCAAGCTACCTTAGGATCGCATAGCACCTTCTGTGCACCCGAGGCAGAGGCCCTAAGACCTGGCAGTTTGGGCTGGCCTTCTCCAAGACATCTGAGTAGATCCTCCCCAAGTAAGGGCCTAAAATGTTAGAGATGTCTACATGGCAGTGTTGGAGCTGACTTAGCATAACAGGGGTGGACATGCAGCCAAATAAAATCCCAAACTGGAAAGGGTGGGGTTACCTCACTGTAAAAGGAGGACACCAAGGCCTTCCAGGCAGAGCCTGCTAAGGATACTGGCCAATTCAGTGGCAGAGCCAAGAGGAGGACCCAGAATTCTCTGCTAATTCTCCCCGGAGATCATCATAAAAACGCCATGGAAAGTTAAAAACACACATCCCTCCCTTCTGTTCCCTTTGCTGTCACCAGTTGGGGACATGGTGACTAAGTTCTGTTTCCCATAGCCAGTTTGGGTTTGCTGAGAAAGACCCTCCAGGCGGGATAGGAGTTGGAGACACTCACGCAGCCCTGTGGATTCCATCCGGGAGGCAGTGTTGACAGTGTCCCCAAAGAGGCAGTACCGAGGCATGGTGAGACCCACAACACCTGCCACGCAGGGCCCTAAAATTCAAATGTGCCCTGGGGAGTTCCAGGAGGCCCGACAGAGGTCCCAGCCTCAGCTTCCCAATGCCACCACACCACCTTTTGTGTATCCTGAGCTGAGGACCATGCTGTCTGGAGTCAATAGCGACACCAAGGAAGGTCGTGCCTGTGCCAGACTCTGGGCTGGGGCCTGGCCAAGTGGGAGACAGGGAAACAGTAGCCAGTACTGGGGTGAGTGAAGTAACCAGGAGAGGCGATAACTGACCTATGTCTTAAAGGGAATGTGGAGGAGACGGCAGGTTCAAAGACCTGGGAAACTACAGTTGAATGTGGGTGCAGGATTGGTGGGGAGCCACAGGGTGAGGCTGGAGAGATTAGTAGAGGCTTTGGGGCTACAGGGGTGGGGGTCTCTACTCTGCACTTGTGCATTTGATCTTGCAGGAGGGAGCCACAGAGAGGAAGGGCACAGAGCCCCTGCTCAGAGGCCTCGCCCACACACCCACACCTACGCCCCCCCCCCGTCAATCCACATTTAGTTGTCCCCACGACTATAAGAGATTTCTGCCTCTTCCATCAGACTATCGGCTTCTCTGTGTGGAATCAGCTGCCCTTGCCCAGACGCTAAGGGCAGAAAAATCTTAAACCAAGTAAGGCATGAATCTGAGTGCCCAGAGCTTTTGGTATAAGGCAGCCAAGGGTCACAAAGCTTCTCTGGCAGAGTCTGAATGCCAGAGGCTCAGGAGCAGCACCTGGGGCTGACCCACCACCCTGGGCGTAGCCCCCAGCCCTCTCTACCTGAGTGCAGACCAGCCCTGACACAGATGGGCACATCGGGTGCATGCCTCATCCGGAAGTTCCCTGCACAGCTAAGTATGTCCAGGGCCATGTTGGCGATCTCAGCCGCATGCCGATTCCCATTGCGCCGAGGAAGCCCAGATGCCACCATGTAGGCATCCCCGATGGTCTCTACCTGCAGACGACAATCTCGTGTTGGAACATCCTTTCCTGCACCCAAACGTATGTGCCATCAATCAGGGGACCCCCCCCCCCAGATTTCCCACCTCCAGATCTCATACACCCTGCAGCCTTTCCAGCCTTCGGGCCCAGGCACTTGGCATTGAGCCATGAGCTTTAGGCGGCCTATGTCTATAAGGCAGATGACAGGTCTGTGTGTCTCTGATAGCAGACCCAGGGAGCAGTTTGCATTAGGCCACAGCAGCCAGCCAGGGCTTCCTCTGAAGGTGCCACCTATCGGGGCAGTCTGGTGTCCTGACTCTAGTGGCTTCCATGGATAGTGGAAAGAAAGTGGGTTCTAGGGCAGCCTGAAACAGCCTATGATCCTCGAAATCGTGAGGCTGAGGCAGGAGGATTGCTGCAAGTTTGAGGCCAGCAATCTTTGGGCTATATAGTAAGACCTTGATTCAAAAGGAGAAGGGCTTGGGTGAGGTTTGAAATGACTCAGTGGGTACAGGTGCATGTAGCTAAGCCAGATGACCTGAATTTGATCCCCAGAATCCTCATAGTGGAAGGAGAGAACTGATCCTCACAAGTTGTCCTCCTTCTCCACACATAGGCACACAAGCACATTCTCTCTTACACACACATACACACTCATACATACATACACACACACACACACACACAAGCACATTCTCTCTCTCTCTCTCTTACACACACACAATACACTCACACATACATACACACAAACACACACACACACACAACTAAAAAGGAGGAGGAGATAAAGGAAAGAAAGTTCTGGAACTAGACAGACCATTGGTTGCACCCCAGCTTTGCCACTTGTGCAGGCAGAGGGCTTCCCTTGCAGCTACAGCTTCCCTTGCAGCTCAGCTTTCTCTCTGTGAGTGGAATGTGTTCACAGAGCCAGCTATAACACTGCCCCACAGAACCCCTGTCAACTTCAGGACCTGAGGTCAGTGTGATGCCCCCTCCTCTGCACCCCTCTACCATCAGAGCTGTTTGTTTCTCAGGACACCCCCCTGCCACACATCACATCAGCCACATACCCTGGCTCTTACTGGCTGTCCCTCCCACAGCCCAGTTCTTCAGAGCTCAGGGTCAGCTGGCCCTTCAGAGCTGGTGTGCCCAGAGATGCCCTGTGATGAATGGCCACCTGCAAGTGAGGCTGTGGCTGCTTGTCCCATATGTGCTTCCTTCAGAAGGGGCAGGGTCACAGCAGAGGAGGAGCGAGATTGAGGGAGGCATTCTAGGCGAGTCTGGCTGTGCCACTGACTCCCTGTGTAACCCCGACAAGGGATCTTGCCCTCTCTGAGCCTCGTGTGTGTCGAGGGCTAAATCAGAGGCATGCTGTGAAGACCAGGTCAAGCTCTCCCTCCTAAGGTCCTTGCTTAGCATGCATGCTTCTTCCTTCCAGGTTTTCAGTGGAAGGCTGGGAGTGGGGAAGAGCTGCAGGCAGCTGGTGCTGGTATTATGTTGTAACTGGGTGAAAGACAGCACTCTCTTTGCTAATCAGCAGAACCGTCCTGAGCCACAGGCTCTTCAACCCTGCCTCTCTAACAGGACCTTCAGGTTGGGAGGGCGGGCTAGCTGTTTAACAGCTTAGATGGCCAGGGCCTCACACCTCCACACTCCAGGCCAAGCTGGGTAGTCACACCCTTATCCCCTATCCCCCTATCTTCTGTCCCATGCCTTGTCCTGCGCCCTGGGCCCCAACACTCAATTCCACACTACAGTCGGAGCAGAGCTTACTCAGCGATGCTGATGCTGGGGTGGTCCTCTCAGCCCCGCCCCACCCCTTCTTCCCACCACTACCACTTTCCCCCCTTCACCCCCACCCCATTCCCCACACATGTGTTTGTTTGAATGGCTGCTTTTCAGACCAGAAAAGATCCAAAGCTGTAACTAGATCCTGCTGAGGACGGGAGGGAAACCGAGGCAGATGGCGGGAGTGATGAGAGACGCGTCACACATCACAGGGACTGGGCCTGCTGCTCCCCACATCTGGAGGGGTGTGCAGGCCTTGTTTGATTTCATTTCCCTCTGCTGGGAAGATGCAGGCCTCTTGGCCAGAGTTCAGAGCTAAGAAGCCAAGGCGTGATTCAGAGCAGGGAGGGGCACAAATGTGAGGAAAGATTAGCAGAGGCGGGAGAGACAGGCCAAGGTGACTCAGGGCAGATCAAAGGATGGGGGGCTCCGGGAGACACCTGTGGGATCCACAGGAGGCTGGGGTGTGGGCTGCCAGACACCACTTGGAGCCATGGAATCTCCCCCCCCCCAGCAGCAGAGGGGGAGGGGGTCTGATTACTCCAGTGGCAGCGGCAGAGGCCTCTGTGGGTCCCCACTGTATGTCTGCAGGGGCTAGTGTCTATCATGGCCTGAGGACACTCCAGTTCCTCCTGGCTCTGCTTCTGTCTGTGCAGCCACAGGCAGGTCTCCTTCCTCTCTGGGGCACAGGATTGAGCCACCAAGTTCTGCCAGGGGTAATTTTGAGAGCACCGAGCAGAACATCTAACAGCATCTAGCAGGCAAAGGAGCAAATAGGAGCTTGGAAGTCTGGTTACCGGAGCAGGCAAAGAGGGAGAGGTGGATGAGCCAGGAGGGGGACGGAGCATGTGAGAAGAGCTGGTGGTTGACCCTCAGAGAAAAACAAAGGCCCACAGAGAAGGAGGAGGGGCAAGTGCACTCAGGAGAGATGGGTCGACTCCACTGTGAGTCACTGTGACCTGCCACTTTATCCTAAAAGAGTCTTCATCATGAAGAGGGTAAACGTCCTACAAGGGACTGAGGACCCAATTGCAAGTTCAAGCCTCAGGTTCATATAAGCCACCGTGCTTACACCATCTCATCTGTAAGTTAGGAGGGCCAGCACCTTCCTCACAGATCAAAGCCCTGTACACAGTAGGTGCTCCATAAGTGCTGTGACAGAGACTACAAGTAACACAGTCAACAGTATGCTTGCCTGACTCCCCATCCCCTGACTCCTTTCAGCTGCTGATCCCGCCCCCGCCCCCCCCATCCCCAGCTTCCAGGGCTATGGCTCAGAAGAGTTGCTGGACCACACAGGGGGATGAAAGCCAACAGGGCCGAAGTAGAATGACACCTGAACCCCCTTCCCCACTTTCTCTGTCCCATTTGGAGTTGCCCTGGGCACCAGCTCCTAGACCAACAGTAGGAGGCAGGGTTACAGGAGGCAGGGGTGTGGGAGGCTGGGGTGAAGGAGGCAGGGGTGTGGGCGGCAGGGCTGCAGGAGGGTCTCTACAGCACAGTGGAGCTGCAGAGGAATCGGTGAGCCCCTTGCTCTCCCAATCGCAGCTGACACATGTTTCTATGCGAACTGCCAGGGTGGAGGTTGTCTGATCCACAGATAAGGAAGCAGGCCAAGAGAGGGGAAGATATTTGGCCAAAGCAACACGTTTGACCACGCTGGAACCAAACCCAGGATCTAGAGACACACCAGAATCAGGTCACAGAAGGTCTTGGTGCCTCTGCCAAGACCCCTGAAGCCTGTCCTCTCTCTGCTTCTGCTGGCCCATGTTGTGTCTCGCCACAATGACCCATCTGGAATTCCCTGCCCACAGCCCGCTCAAGTCTCAGGTGCTTGCTCGTGGTCACCATTGCCTGCTGAAGTGGCGTTATCCAAGCTGGACAGTGCTGGGGAGAAGTCTCCTCTTCCGGAACCCTCCTCACTCCCTCAGCTTTCTGCCATTGTCATGGTCACGGGGGTTATTGCCATCTTCCTACAGAACTGAGAGTCCCCGCAGGGTGGGACCAGACTGGCTTGTCTCTGCATGCATGTTCCGGGCACAAAGGGGCCCATCCATGAAAACGATAGAGGATAAACAGACAGACTAAGGACGTGTGAGCATTGTGGACAAATAAACCCAGATGACACTCTACATCCCTCCTGGGAGCCGCATCCCTGCAAGGTGACTGCAAGGGCTCCCATCCCTGCAATGTGGCTACAACAGCTCCCATCCCTGCAATGTGACTGCAAGGGTTCCCATCCCTGCAATGTGGCTACAAAGTCTCCCATCCCTGCAATGTGGCTACAAAGTCTCCCATCCCTGCAATGTGGCTACAACGATTCCCATTCACATCTGGTGTTGCTCCTCCCCTCTCTTTAAGCTTGCCATATTGTCTCCCTTGGCCAACAGAGTCTGTCAAGGAAAGCAGTGTGCCAAGCCCAAGCAAGAGCTCAAGAAACCAGCACACCTCTGCCCTCTCTTAGAACCCAGCCACACATGTGAACTACCTCAGAGAGTGATAGGCCAGAGCTGAATCCTTCAAGTCAAGGTTCCAGAGACGCAGAGAACCAAGTTAAGATCACAAAGTTCCCACCTTGCCTGCAGCCAGAGACGTTTGTGAGTCCATTCTGAGGCTTGTAACTCACGCTTTCACCGTATGCTCCTGGACTTTGAGATTATTCTTTATACAGCAACAGTTGTGTAACGTTGCAGTTAATTGATGCAAATGCACACATATGTAGATGGAAACAGGTTTGCAGCACATGGCTGCAGGGGGAGGGAGAGGAGGAGAGTCTCCTATCGCCCTCACCTTATACACATCGTGGCTGTCCAGAACAGCATCAAACAGCGTGTAGAGGTCATTGAGGAAGCCCACCACCTCAATGGGCTCACTCAGGGCTGAGATGGTGGTAAAGCCCACGATGTCACTGAAGTAGATGGTGACCTGGTCGAAGTACTCCGGCTCCACGGTCCTCCCCATCTTCAGAGCATTGGCGACAGACCTGAAGGGACAGGAGGGGCCGGGTGAGGACCCCGTTTGGAGGCTGGAGATATGAGAGGAAGGAAGTCCCCAGCTGGCCAGTGTACCGGTTATGCTGTGCAGACCTGTCCTGACTTTCTTGGAAGTGAGCTGGGAGCACTGTGGACACTGCTTACTCCCAGGGCAACAGTGCTCCCAGGGCATGGGCAGTAGGAACTCAACACTGGTGTATATAACTCATTGCCCAATACATGAGGAAAGACTAAAAGGCTAAGTTAGATAAATGAGAAGCAGTGAGGTGGTAGTGGAGGGGGTGGGAAGATCAGTTGGTAAGGGTGCTGTATAACAGTGAGGACCTGATTTTGATTTCTAGAACACACAGAAAGTCCAGGGTTGTATGCATGCTTGCAATCCCAGTCTGAGGAGGCAGAGCCTGGAAGAGCCCTTGGGTTGCCCGTCAGCCCAGCTAAACTGCAGACCATGAAGAGAGACTCTACCTCAAAAGACCAACTTGGAAGGTATTCTAAGAAACTTGACGCTGAACCCTGTGCTCATACACATGCACACACATGTGTGCTCAAGCATCAAAACTTGTGCAGGGGGCACAGAGCTGTTTGTGCTCACATGCATGAGGGGAACCTAGGACATTAAGCACACAGGGTTGTTCCTTCAAGGAAAAGAATGCAAAATCCGCCTTCCACTCAGAAGGCTGGAGCTGCCATAATTCTCTTTCTAGCCTGGTGACCTTTGTGCAATTTGTGTGGCCAGAGCCGGCCCCTGGCCCCTCAGACCCTTTTCATAATGTCTTTCTCCGTCACTCTACAGAACCCATCTTTATGGAAGATGTCACATGTGCTTTACAAAGAGTTTCAACGTCGTTGGGTCTGGTCTGTATTTAGCTGATTTTGTTCCTCAAAGAGATGTAGGCAAGCTTTGTTGTGCACGTGGGACTGAGTTCAGCATCGCGAGAACAGTTTTTCGCCAGATTGTGCTGTGCTTCAAAATGCCTGAAGGGAACAGCTCGGGTCAGACTCCTGAAGTACGAGCTGACGCAGGCTACTGAGCGGTGCTGCACCAAGCTGCCGCCTTGCCCCCTGTGGCTGGTCCCATGCTACCTGCAGGCAACTCACGGAGGGAGCATCTGTGAGAGCAGCCTTTCTGTCTTCCGCCTCTCCAGTTCCAGCTCCTCAGTCCGCTCCTGGACCAGGCCCTCCAGACTTTGGGAATACTTTTCCAGCATCCGTAGCATGGAGTCAGCCACACTCATCTTCTTGCCTTGGTTGATGACTTTGAACTGGAGATAGAACAAGATCTCAGTTTCATTCATACGGATCAACACCTCCTGCCCACAGCTTGGGAGTAGCCAGGTGGAGTCCCCCCCAGGCCGGGGAGATGGGTTGAAGCAAAGGCAGATATGTGGACTAGCACGACACAGAGGTTCAGAGGGAGGTGGGGGGAACCGTTGGATCGGGTGGGTCAGTAGGAACAGAGTTTAGCGGAGGAATTTGTGTTCAGACAAGCATCATCATTGACAAACATAAAACTGAATTACATGTGGTCTCACGGTAACACTGTCGGCAGGATACTCTGTGTTCTTCTCCAAGGCAGATGGATGGATGAACAGAGTCATTATGGGTGGGCGAAATCATGAATGGGAACCTGATAAGTGGATGGATGGACAGACAGACAGATGGATGGATGGACAGAGTCATTATGGGTGGGTGAAAGCATGAATGGGGTCCTGATGGACAAATGGATGGATGGACAGACAGACAGATGGATGGATGGATGAATGGATGGACGGATAGAAGGATGGACAAATGGATAAGTAGAATATATAAAATTCTATTTTTCTTCTCCCTCTCTAAGTATCTGAGGACATTAGAACCAAAGGAAACTAAAGATTAAGGGAAAAAAGATTAAATTCAGGAGTAGAGTTTCTATGTAGAAATTGATCAGTGTTTGGAGGCAAGTTTCTTAGCAACGAAACCAAAATGGAAACACAGATCACACAATCCACCAATGTCCATGCAGAAAACAGAGGGTTAAACCCATTGTTGTAAAGCAAAACAGCTACTGCCACTGCCAAGCGGAGAGAAGCCTCTTTTGGGTCTTCGAATCAGGTCGCTGTGACCATAAGTGACACCTCTTTCCAGCCCTCATAGAAGGAGGCTAAGAGAACAGGGGAGGTTAGTTACCCCAAACAACGGGTGAGAGTTAACGTAGCTGGTTCAGGCCTTCTGACCCTGCCCTCTCTGATGCGGGATGCAATCCCACCTTCCTCATACTAAGCACAGTGTGTCCCGTAGCTTTCTTTGCCATGGGCCTCAGACAGGGGTCTTTCTCAGTCACGGATATGGAGTAGCAATGCCAGTGCCCCCTCCCCTGGTTTTCTAGCTAGGATGACCTCTAACCTCCCCAGGGAGATATCACCTTGGTGTTTCAGCCATCTCTGTTCATCCTACCTCATCTACCCCCCATCATTGTGACCCCTGAAGTTTGTCAGCTCTGCAATCCAGATGGTCATCTATAAAGAGGGTGCTACCCCATGATGCTACAGTAGGCATGGGGTATGTGTCAATGTCCCAAGGAGCCCTGTAGATCATCTCGGTCTACCGTGCTGCCTCTGTCTCTCCTCACCTGCCTGTCTGAGATGCTGAACTTCACCTTGGTAATTTGGTGTTGTGACTGGGGACGATGAGACCGGAACAGGATGTAGAGCTGCACCTCTGGGTTTGATGGGTTGGTCCTGGGGGAGAGCTATCCTGCTCAGTCAGGTACAGGCTTGCCTCAGCCCTCCAACTGCAGTCCCAAAACAGGCTAGGGGGACCCCAGAGCTCATCTAGTCTCTCCCTCAGACTCGGGGACCAGGACTGTCTCCACTGTCACTAAAGTCTCCTCTGCTCAGGTGCTAGGAGGTCTGGTCCTGGGTGAGGCTCCTAAGCAGCTATTCAGGGACACAGCCAGTCACCTGGTGAGGTCGCTTAAGACCTTGCCTCTGTCTCCTGTATCTCCTACAGAGCCGAGACCGTGGTAGCATGCTTCAGAAGGTTGCCGTGAAAATGGAGTGACCGAGAAAAAGCTAGACCCTCAGGATGGCACACATGGCCCTCTCTCTACGGCTGTCCTCCTTAGAGTGGTACCGCTGATGTGTGTCCCCTGACTACCCATCCTTTCCAGATCCTGGAGATGCATGCGGCCTGCCCTGGGCCAAGCCAGGCCTGTGGACAGGAGTGCTTATAAGCCCCCGTGCCTCTGGGGAGCACTGACCTGCGTGTAGATCTGATCCACGCTGGGCCTGTCTTCTGGATCTTCCTCCCAGCACTGCTGCATCAGCTGAATGCACTCCCGGGGTCCCTGGTCAGGGGACACCAGTGGCCGGCAGAGAGGAGGGGGAGACGACACCTTCCGGATGATCTCTGCAGCAAATTCCATGTATACTTTGGGTCAAGATGCCCTGAGGGATTATGGGAGGGGTCCTGTGGTAGGGCAGGGAAGGGGGAATTGGGCCCATAAGGATTCTCTCAGGACTTTCCATGTCTCCTGCACAGCTGGTCAGGGCACACAGCCATGCTAGTCTCCTGGGTCTGCCTCAGGCTGTGGCCAGAGGAAAGGTCTCAGCCTTTGACTAGGAGAGCTGGGTTTCAGTTTCAAATCTTCTATCATTCTCTATGGGGTGGCAGAGATGGCAATCCCTTCACCCTCAGTCTCCTCATCTGTGTAATGGGGTCAGAGGGCCTCCTCTTGAGGGGTGCTGAAGTAGGAGGTACAGAAGGCAGTGCCTGGCATGTGGCAGGCGCTCCCAAGGCTGCTGTTCTGGAGATTCCCAGCCTTGTGGTTGAAACCTGACAGCCTAGCCCTCCATACTGGTCTCAACACCCAGAGACTACAGCACTCCTCACAAGACTGACAGAGATAGAGCCCTCATCATCCAAGACATCCCTGCTCCACCGGGTGAGGCCTGTACAGGAAGGCCACAGAGATCGGCACTCGAGTTCTCTGGCTCTGCCACCCTGAGCCTGCGTCCCACACCCAATCCCAGACCACTGCCTCTGGCAAAGCCAAGAGGTCATCAAGACTGAGAATAAGAGGAGCTGGGCTCTGTGCTCAGGCTCTGAGCCCACAGATCAACGCAGGACATCGGTCATCTGGACAGGTTGGGCCATAGCAGGGTAACCTCCGAGGAGGTCTGGGGCACTCCTCTCTTTCTCTACAGCCCTCTTCTCCCCGCCCTAGATTGGCCACCTTGTCGGGGATAGTGAGAGGTCACCTCTCTCTATTGTTTGGGGTAGGGGTTTGTTTGTTTCTTTGTTTGAGACAGGATCTCCCCCAGGATGGCCTCAAACTTATTACATAGCCAAAGATGATCTTAAATCTCTGATACCCATGCATGCCAAGGATTGATCCAATTCTACAGACGTGTGCCACCACGCCTGGTTAAGCTATGCTAAGGTTCAAACCAAGGGCTTTGTTGATGCTAGGCTACTGCTCTACTGGGTGCTCGTCCTGATCGACATCCCTCCTGAAGAGGGCAGTCCACGGCTTGTCTGAAACTCACCGTGCAGCCCAGGTTATACAAATTCGCTATCCTCTGCCTCCGCTACCCGAATGCTGAAGTTACAGGTCTGTGCTACCACACACTGGCTATTAATGTCCAGTGTTACAAACAGGAAAACTGAGGCTCATTGCATAAGGGAACATCTCTACAGGCCAGCAAAGAGCAGACGCGACAGTAGGCTGGATTTCCACTCAGTCGTCTAAAGAGTCCCAGCCTCAGGCAGCAGACCCCAAGGGCCTCAGACCGCAGGCGCTGGGAGGCTGTGTGCTTACAAAGGAGAGCATGCAGAAGGAAGTGATACAGAGCACGCTCACACGCGCGCAGCTGTGTTTTTAAAAGCACGCCGATTGCATTGTGATGAATGAGATGTAAATCCATTTCAAAGCATTGCAGATTTCTGAGCAGCATCTGTCATCAGGGGGTTTCTGCAGCCAGCAGATAGTAAAAGCTGAGGACAGTGTGGAGACTCCAGCATTCCGTGTAGGGTGTGTGTGGAGGCGTGTTGGGGGTGTGTGTGCGCAGATGGCACGCATGTAGGGTGTGGGGGGGAGTATTGGGGTGCGTGTGCGCAGATGGCACGCATGTAGGGTGTATGTGGGGCAGTGTTGGGGTGTGTGTGCGTAGATGGCACATGTATAGGGTGTGTGGGGGGGAGTGTTGGAGTGCGTGTGCACAGATGGCACACATGTAGACGCCAGAGATCAATGCCGAGTGTCTCCCTTAATCGACCTTCATCTTATTTTTAAAGACAGGCTCTCTCGCTAAAGCTGGAGCTTGCTGATTTGGCTGTCCAGCCAGCAATCCCTGGGGTTCCCCCGCCCCGTCTATTTATTTCTGGTGCTGCACCAGCACACACAGCTTTTTACGTGGGTGCTGGGATCCAAACTTGGGTATGCATGCTTGCATGGCAAACGATTTGCCGCTTTGCCGACTGAGCCGTTCCCCCAGGCCTGGATGTCAGCATCTTAGAGGACGGTAAGAACGTAGGCCCGGGGTGGTCCCCGGGTCCTCTTGCTGTGCCAGTCCTACTGTTCACACCCACTGCTCTCAACACTGCCCTCAGCAGTGCTGGCTTCCGTATAGGAGGCTGCTCACCTGGCCCCTAAGCACGCCATGCCCGGGTGAGGAGAGCCACCCAAATCCCACTTCCCTCCTTGAGAAGTCCCTGCCCTGCTTTGAGTAACACATAAATCTTCTCTGAAAAAGTCATCCGTTACCAACCAGGGCATCAGACGAAGCGCTAGAGAGAGGGCCTGGGAAACCACAAAGGGCCCTATGCACACAGGCATCCTCCAAAATGTGGGATACAGGAGAGAATGTGAGACACTCCCCCCCCATTGGCCCATCCCCAAAGCACCCAGGCAGATGTGACTGAGCACCTATCATGTTTCAGGCCCTGGATCTAGGGTGCAAAGCTGCACACAGAGTGACTTTATGAGGCAGGCGCCCTGGTTCCCATTTTACAGGTAAGGAAACTGAGGCTTAGACCCATAAAGGGTTTATTCAAAATTGTGGGGCACATGGTTGTGGAGCCGGCTTTAGGCCTAATTCGGAAAGCTAAGCTCTGAATTCTGCTCTTTCCAAGGCTGGAGAAAGCACATCCCAGGAAGAAGCAGGCTCAAGCCGATCTCCATCTGAAGGTCTCTGATCCTTGCACCCAAAGGCTGATGCCCTACCTAGAGGGCCTCACCTGGCAACAAGCCTTGCAGAGCCTATCTGGGTGGTCTTCCTTTTCCACAGCAGGCAGATGTGAGGCGCAGAGACCAAACAGCTCCCTGCGTCTGTTACCTTGCCCCTTCCTGACTCTCTAAACCCAGGCCTGAAATGGGCAGCGTCCACTGGGCAGGACTTTGGTGGATGAAGGAGAAAGTCAGGCCCGTGTGGATTAAAAGACCATCCAAAAGCTCAGCTGGGCCTCTGCCCCTCCTTTCTGGCTGAGACACCCTGAAAATCTGCAGGACAGATCTCCGGGACTGAACAGTGGGGTGGGATGGGAAGACAATTGCAGGATCCGTCTGAGGTCCAGGGTGACCTGTCAGGGAGGACACGTACCTTCTGCTGAGAGTCCCCAGGAGCAGTAGGGTGGGCCTCGGGTAAGCACCTCTTGTAGGATGATGCCTAGGCTGAAGACATCGCCTTTGAAGCTGGCCTTCCCGGGTCCCCCAGACCCCCGCAGCAGCTCGGGAGCCGTCCATAGAAGCTCTGCAATCGTAAGCAAGGGTCTCCTGCTGCCAACTCTGTTCTCCTGCATTCCCCGGTCAAGGGCCTTAGGTTCTTCCAGCACGAAAACCCACCAATTCCAGGTTCCAACACAAAAACTGTGGGCACCCCCCCTCCCCTTGCTTCACAAACGCCAATACAGCACACCCTGCTGGTGGCCCCCTACCGCCCGGCCAACCTTCTGGGTCTGGCTGTGGCCTGGGGGAACAGTGGAATTCCAGGAACTCTTCGTAACCATGGTCAGTGATCTTCAGCACAAAGCGGCTGTCCACCACACAGTTCCTGGACTTGAGGCGCCCGTGGGGGAAACGCCGATGGTGCAGATACCGCACACCCTGGGAGGAGGCATGTGAGGTCATTGAGTGAGAAGGACCATGGACCATCCACAGGACCCAGAGGCCTCTGGCCTCAACTTGTTTTTGACATTGTCAGATTTCAAAGCTGATGTGGGATTCCCCTCTGTGTGCTGTGAATATGTTTATCACCATGGGTTGATAAAGAAGCTACTTTGGCCTATGGCAGGACAGAATGTAGCTAGGTGGAAAATCCAAATAGAGATAGAAGGAGAAAGAAGGCAGAGTCAGAGAGACACCACATAGCTGCCCAAGAAGCAAGAGGTGAGGCAGCCTTGCAGTAAAATATAAAATAATAGAAATGGGTTAAGATGTAAGAGCTAGTTAAGACTATGCCAGAGCTGTTGGCTAGACAGTGTTGTAGTTAATATAGTTTTTATGTGATTATTGGGGTCTGGGGACTGGGAAATGAAAGTGTGGTCTCCGTTTACACAAAGCTGTGGGAAATCTGAGCGTGTCTCATCTCCCCACCCCCTTGACTCTTGGCTCCTGGGGAGCCCCTCACTCTGATCAGATCCAACAGCAGGGAGGCCTTGAAGGTCCAGTCGAGCTTCAGGGCCTCATTCCGAAGCAGGTCCTCTAGGCTGCCACGGGGACAGTGCTCCAGCACCAAGGCACTGAACTCGGGGCCCATGAAAAGGCCCAGGAAGGCAGTGACGTTCTCATGCCGCATCTCCCGCATCTACAGAGGCAAAAGGCACCTTAGAGGCCCCTGGGCATCAATGCCCTGGGTGCGTGGATGGTGTGCGCTGATGGGTGGATGGATGGGCAGATGAACAAGAGAATAAGTGGATACACAGAGGGGTAGTGGGTGGATAGAGGTGGTGGATGGCCAATAGGTGGGTGGATAATTGAGTGGATGGGCTGACGGGCAGACGAATATAGACAGACAGGGATTGGACGGGTGAAGAGGTGGGTGGATGAGCAGATAGACGCATTGATGGGTAGATGGGCAGATTGGTAGAAAAATGAACGAATGAATGAATGAATGAATGAGTAAAAGAATGAATGAATGGAAGCATCATGGATGGAGGAGTGGAAGAGCTGCAGGTCCCTCCACAGAGTTAGATCTAGGTCTGTTTCTCCACCTGACTGATACCATTGATCTGAATCCTATTGATCCTCTCTGCGTAGCCTACAGGACTGAGCAGAAGGGCCCCTGCCTGCAGCGAAGGAAGGGAGCTCCCTAATGGAGGGCCCAACCTGGATAGATCAAACCCTTGACTGGCAAGGCCTTCTTCACAAAGATGGTTCAGAGGTCGGCTAAATGGGGAGGGGTGGCTGCATGGTCTCCCTCCTCTGAGAGCCCCAAGAACAGCCTCAAAGCCGTTCCTACTCCGGCCATGGAGAGGTGACCTCTGTCCCTCCCTAAGTGTGCTCTGTTACTGTGTGAACTACTGAACACCACGGGGGCAGGCTTTAGGGAATGACAGTTCCTATTTCCCATCTCTTACAGTACCCAAGACCGTCCCTGAACCCAGAGAGACCAGCAGACAACTTGGAGAGTATAAGAAAGAAGTCAGATCACAGCAGACTCCGTCCTCACCTGCCCTGCCCATGAATGGAGATCTTCAGGCTCTCTGAACCAAGAAACCACAAGGTTTTCTAAAAAGGTTCCAATAATAAATATTTTAGGCTTAGCACATCTCCATCACAAATACTCACTCCTGCCAGGGAGACAGAAGAGCAGCTAGAGACAATACATAAAGGAGAGAACATGGCTGTGTCCCTACTTATTTATAAAGGTAAGAAGTGGCTCAGATTTGGCCAGCAGTCACGGCTCACCCAGTTCTGACTGCTGAACACCATAGACTGATCTCTACCTGTCATAAAATTGAACAGAGTCACCCAGCTGAGCCCTAACCAAATTCCTTACAAAAGTGTAAGACATAAAAGCACTGTTGTTTTTGGCCACTGCATTTTAGAGTAGATTGTTATACTCCAATACACAGCCAGAATGGCACACAGTAAAGGCTCAGAGAAGTCCTGTGGCCACCCTCAAGCATCCCCCAAACTTGGCTGACCTTTCTCAGAGAAGCTGCTCACACTGGCTACAAGGGAAATGCCTAACTGCCCCTGTCATGTAGTCTCTCGGAATTTCATTCCAGATAACCAGTGCTGGGTGTAATAAAAAATAACCAAAGCCACAATCTGATGAAATTCCCCATTTCTCAAAGGCATGCCACTTGCCAGGGACAGTTTCAGGTTGTTCTATATATACCCTGCCCTCCTCACAGCTATCCTGGGCTGGGTAGTATTGGCTCTGTCTTACAGGGAGGGGAAGCGTCTTCCTGAGCTCTGCCTTCCCTTCCCTGTGCCTCTCTGATGGTGATATTCTTGGGGAAAGGTGTTTATACGGTCCATGATGGTGATTGAAGTTCCCCCCAGGAAACGGAACCTCTTCTCCTGAGCCCAAAACTCTGCCTGGCTTATGAGTAAACAACAGATGATACAGGAATGGATACAGGTATGGATACAGAGATGGATTCAGGGATGGATACAGGGATGGATACAGGGATGGATACAGAGATGGATTCAGGGATGGATACAGGGATGCATGTACAGGGATGGATACAGGGATGGATACAGGGATGGATTCAGGGGTGGATACAGGGATGGATTCAGGGATGGATACAGCGATGGATACAGGGATGGATACAGCGATGGAT